ATATTACCAGAGAAAAAGCTACGTAGGATTAGGTTAACAACTCTTAATGCCTTTGTGGCTATGTAGTTACTGTGGGCTCTAGCACTTAGATCATTAGAGATGAGTACTCCAAGATCCTTGACAGAGTTTGGATCATCAACAAGGTCTTGACTATTCAGCCTGTATTTTATTTTTTGATTTTTTTTTGCCAATATGTAAGACAGAGCATTTATTTGTTGAGACTTGAAGTTGCCATTTGTTTGACCATTCTGATACATAGTCGAGGTCTTTTTGAAGGGTAGCAGTATTGTCTGTGGTATTGAATAGCTTTACATCATCAGCGAAAAGAATGCAGTTGCTCTTAATATGATCACAGAGGTCATTTATGTAGAGTATGAAGAGAGTTGGTCCTAGAACACTGCCTTGGGGGACACCACTGTTGACAGGTACAGGATTTGATAGGACACTTCCAATTTTGACCATTTGTTGCCTGTTTGACAGGAATGCTTCTATCCAGTTATGCAGGTATCCAGAGATACCATAAGACCTTAGTTTTAGGAGTAGGTTGTCATGTACCACTGAATCAAAGGCTTTACAGAAGTCTATGTAGATTGCGTCAATTGCTTTGCCCTGATAGAGTTGTGTAGTCCATATGTTTTTACAGTGCAACTGTTGCAGGTTACAGGACAGTTTCCTTCTGAAACCAAACTGTTTGTTAGAGAATAGGTTGTTTGTCTCTAAGTGGAGGATAATGGATTGGTTAATAATTGATTCCATGACTTTACAGGTGATACAGCATAAAGAGATTGGTCTGTAATTTTCAATTAGGCTGGGGTCTCCCTTTTTGAAGATGGGAATGACTGTGGCTAGTGACCATAGGTTTGGCAAGGAGCTGGCCCTGAAGGATTTTTCAAAGATCATGCTTAGAGGTTCAGCTATGGCAGTGGATAGCTTTTTAAAGAAGTAGGCACAAACTCCGTCTGGTCCAATAGATAAAGATGGTTTTAGATTGTGTAGTGCTTTTTCAACATTGTCTTCTGTAAAATCGATATGTATTAGATCACTGTAGTTGTCTGTGGTTTGACTAGGAAATATTGGGCATGATCCATTGCTGTTTACAAATACTGAGGCAAAGAATGTGTTAAAGAGGTTGGCTTTAATGGTGTTATCATTGCAGTCTTTACCATTTGGTTCTTTTAGGGGTGGGATGGATCTTGAGTCTTTTAGTTTGTTGTTTACAAAATTGTAGAAAGCGTGGGTGAAATTGGTGCGTAGAAGGTTTTCCTCTTGTTTAGTGTGATAATTGGTACATTCAGTCTTTATCTGGTGGCATAAATTTTTGTATCGGCTTTTAAAGTTGGCAGTGTGACCAGGTTTGTTTTTCCGCCAAAGGGATTTCTTTTTGTATTGGAGCTTCCTTATTGTTATGGGTAATTTGTTTTTTCTGGTTTTGGGAGTTGTTATTGGTACATATAGTTTGATGATTCTTTTGACTTCAAGTAGAAATATGTTGTAATGCTCTTCAACAGTATTGCATCCAGTGAATAGAATTTGCCAATCAAGAGATGAGAGATCGTTGTCTATAAGATCATAGTTGCCTTTTTTGAAGTTATAATTGGGGATCCTGTCGTTATGGTGATTTTTGTGAGGACATGTTGAGACAAAAGTCAATCATGCTGTGGTCACTGTTGGAAAAGGGTTCATTAATTTGTATTCCATAAATTGAATTCAAACTGTTCCAGAAGATGAGATCGAGGCAGTTGTTAAATCTAGTATTGTTGGTTACTAGTTGTTCCAGTCCTAGTGTGGTAACGACATTGTACAGGGTTGTATGAATGGGTTCAGATGTACATTCATTTAGTGTCCAATTTATAAGAGGTAAGTTGAGGTCACCAAGAAAAATGAGAGGGTGTGGGCAGGAGGCAGCCCATGTCAGTAGTGAAGTTAGCTTGTTTGCATGAATTATACCATAGTCAGGGGCACGATAGCAAAGTAAGAAGCGGATTGAGATGTTTAAGGACAATTCACAGATGATGGTGCCAGGAAGAGCAAGCTCTTGTATAATTTGGATCTTTTTTAGATTTAGAGACTTTTTATAGATTATAGCAACTCCACCACCTCTACGGATTTCGCGATCTGACCGAAAAATTTGATATTCTCTTGTAGTGGTAGGAGTCTGGGAAAGATGCATTTAACCACATCTCACAGACAATGAATAATGTCTGATGTGGCTGAGCTTAGAAGAATGAGGAATTCATGCATTTTATTTGTGGGGCTTCTTGCATTAAGTAGTTTGCATTTAAGATATGAAATAGTTGGTCTGGAGGAAGTAAGTGGCATGCATCCCTAACGTTGGATGTTTGGGTGATGGATATTGTGACGTGGGTTGAGGCTCTTGCTTTTGATACAGTCAGCATGGTAATCAATGTATAGATTTGTATTACCTAATTCATGTAATCTTTTGAGCTCAGAACGTAGCTCCTGGGATCGTACACGTTGCTGTAAGGTTAAATCAGGGCGAGAACAAAGGTTCTTATGGTTGTTGTTGTTCTTTGTGAGTGAATTTATTGAGAAAATGAATTTGCGTTTGCTTGTTTCATTTTTGAAAACAACCCTGCAGGGGCGTGGGATCATCAAGCCGTCTTTGTTTTTAAGCTCAGAACCAACACAGGAAATATCAAGTATTTCTTCAGGGGAGATGGTTGATGCTTGATTTTCTCTGATGATGTTTTGAACATTAGACATGTCATCATTGTCATTGACCTCTAGACCAAATAAGATGGCATTTGGTCGCTTCCGTTCACGCTCAACAGCTTCTTTGATAAGATGGGGATATCAATATTTGTAGGTTTTTTTGTTTTTTGTGGATTGGGTTTTGGTTGCGGTTGTTGAGTAGAGATATGGTCTGTAGATGTTTGGTGTTTGTTTTTTAGTGCTGTCTCTTTTTTTTCAAGGTTTGCCAATCTAGTTTGTATAGTGTCCAGGAATGCTACAGTGGTGTCAAGGGATGTTATACATGTTTCAGTGGTATCGACTCTTTCAACAGGGTAATGTATTATTCTAGTTTGGGTCTGCATGGCGGACAGAAATATGGAAAAGCATTGGCAGATGTTTTTAGGAATAGAGCCATTTGCTTGGGTAATCCTAAGCAATTATGGTGAGCGTCGTTTTTACAAAGAGAACATTTGATGTAATCTTCATTCTCCTTTAAAGATTCCTTACAAATAAGGCAAGAGCAAGAGTCTTGTGGTTCTTTAGTAGGGGTTTATTTCTTTTTAGGTTGAGGTTTGACATTGGATTGTTTTCCTGGCATGGTGGGTTTGTTGAGATGGTTTGTTGATTAGGTTGTTCAATCAAACAAGGTATTGTGGTAATCAATAAAGTAATATCATGCCAAACAGTCTATTATACTAATCACACTAGTCAATTAATTTAACTAATCAATAATCACCCTAATAATTAATTACACTAATCAATAAACACACTAGTCAATTGTCCTAATCATTAATTTGCACTAAACATACTAATCATACTAATATTCAAAATAGTTAACCAAACTAATCAATAACCACTAGTCTATGATAATCTATAATTATATATTACTCACTAATGATAAATAATTGTAAAAATTAATTAATCCTCAGTCATATTTGGAAAAATTAGGGCAGGAAGAGAATAATGGGAGGAAGAGGAGAAGAAGATTTAGTTTGGATGGTCCTGGGGGGTATAGGAAGAGGGCATATATTAGGTTGGAAGTATAGATGAAAGTCTTTTGGCAGAAGGTTACTCTTTACTCGTTTCTTCAGATCTTCAGTTAGTGATTTTTGGGAACCAGATCTGTCTTCACACAGATCTTCTTGTCTCCGGGCATATATTAGGCTGAAGGTAACTATGAAAGTCTTTTGGCAGAAGGTTAATCTTCACTCGTTACTTCAGATCATCAGCTAGCGATCTTAGAGATTAGGTCTGTCTTCTCACGGATCCCCTTGTCTTTGGTCAGCGATCTTAGAAATTAGGCTACTGCATGAATTAGCAGGGTTGCGCTCTGAGAACAGGACCTCCGATGTGGGATTTGACAATCACAGATGATCGATGATGTATCTTGAAATATCTTGAAAGACAACATTTTTCATTACTGTTCTTGTTTGTTTCAAGGCTGCTGTTGTACCGTCTGCACAATCTCTCAGGCTCACTGACTTTTACTTCAGTGACTTTGAGCTGTCAGATATGGAGACTTCTCTATGCACAATCCGGATGTTTACTGACCTTAACCTTGTACAAAATTTCCAAATAAAACATGAGGTGAGGCCACAAGTATGACCATATATGTAGCCAATTATTCTGTAATACAGTGTTCTTTAGTGTGCACATTTGTGTATATGTATGTGCTTTATGTATATGACTGGATATAAATTGAATAGTAGTTTTTAAACCACCCTTGAGGTCATGGGAAAAATGCATTGTTATCTGTGAACAACATTTTCTGTCATTTTCCATGCAAATAAGCTCCAGAGGAAGTGGAGTTTGCTATGTGCTTCTTACCATTGTTACCATATTTCCTACATCCTTGTCACTATCTACAGAAGATATTTTTTTCTATCTATAAATTCTCCCTGAGATTTTTTTAAAATTCTGATTCTCCAGAATTCTATAATCTGGGGAAATCTGAATTGTGTCCTGCTAAGGAATTCCTGCTTTAAAAGGTGCCTGAACATAGAGTTAAGTCAAAATATATTATATATTCTAAATGCCTAGTGAACAGATTGCATTTTTCTATTTTAAAAATTGCCAAGTTTTTAACATATGGTGGAAAAACAAATTAGCAACTAATATCAAAGCACTTTTCCGGAATGAGCCTCCCTGCAATTAGGCCCTTGTAAGGAAATATAAGCTTTAATCAGCCTACAGTTTGCTAGACATTCACATTTTTAATCTTTGGATAAATATGTACATAAAGAAGGATTTTCTTACCATTTTCAAACAATGCATTAGATATTTCTTCAAATAAACTAAGACCTTGTAAAATCAGCAGATTTGATCAATAATTTGTTTATCACTTAAAATTTAAAAGTAGCAAGATACTTCAGCTTATTGGAGATGCAAACAACCACATACTCGCAACTCCTTAGTCTGTTCTTAAGATTAGGCAATTTTCATATAAACCTAAGAAATAACACACTTGGTTTAAGGATTCATGGATTCATGTCACCATGTGTCCTAAAGCCCCTTTCATTTTATTTCCTTAATTTCATCTTTCTAAGTTAAAATATACTTTTATAACTCAGTTCCACAAAGCATGTATAAAAGCCAGATATGATATTTGTTGAAGTTTTAATATTTTGGTTTTGGGGTTGTTATCTAAAAATGATGGCGTTTCTTCTGTATTATACTTTTAATTCAACAATGCTATTTTTGAAAGGTCCTTTGCAGATGGATTTTAAGTGTGAGGAAAAATTATCGGAAAAATGTTACTTATCACAACTGGAGACATGCTTTTAATACAGCCCAATGCATGTTTGCTGCTTTAAAGACAGGAAAAATTCAGGTATGTTTGAATAACCTTATTTTTATTAGGCTGTTTTTAAAACCTTAACTAGGCATTGCAACACATTATGTTGAAATTTTACAAAGACTATAAAATCATCATGTAAAGTATTCCTGCACTACATCGTTAAAAGAAGAAAATATTTCATAAAAGTAAACATTTATACCCTATGCTGTGCTGATAACATTATTTTGATAGTTAAAAATGCAAATGCTCTGCTAGCTCTAATAATGAAAATCAAGAAGCATCTTAGAAATTATAGTAAAGATAAAGGAGGTGGTGGATAGCTTCTGCCTTTTAGGATCAATCATTAACAAAGGAATCAGAAGTCAAAAATATTTGTCAGAATAGCACTTGGTAGGGTAGCTATGCAAAGATCTAGTTCTCTATTATAGTGTTCTCTAGAGAATTCTGGAAAAGAGTGAAGGAAAGAGACAAAGAGAATGACCTGCAGTAAGGAGAATGGACTCAAATACATTCCTGATGGGCTACACCATTGGAAGGCCTGAAGAATATAATTAGGGGTGGATCATTCTGGAAAAAATCTGCATGTGTGATCAACATTAATCCAGACTTTAAAATTTTCATGCTTGAGACACCAGTTACATTACCTAGCCAAAATGTCTTCTGTAATTCTTTGTCAGTTGGCCTTGATTTTTGCAATCATCAAGATTTTCTCTTGCCTTTATATTATTTTTCCAAAATAGTTTAGATTATCAGTGCTTTCAAAAAGCAGCCTGGTTTTTCTATATCTAGTACTAGATGATTTGTTCTTCTCGCTATCCAAGCAACTCTAAATAACTTCTTCCAGCACTATAGCTCAAAGGGTTTGTGGAGTTGAAGTTAGTTTTCCTTTATCTATTTTCAAATAGTGTAAACATACTTAGGACTTACAAAAATAGCCTCAAAATGGGAGGTAGTTGTGCTGCTGATTTCCAATAGTTGCCATGAAACTCCAGACTGTCAGTTCATATACCCTGGAGGCTTCAGATTGCCTGTTTAAAGTGTTGGTAAATTAGTCTTTAGGTTTCAGATGGCTACTATGGTATCTGTTGCCTTATTCTAAAAATATTAGACATTTACACTGCATGTGGAATGCTGTTCAGCTTGTGATTAAGCAAACAAGTTGAAATCCTCATACAGAGAATATAGCTCAACTTTTCATGGAATTAGAAACCTGAGGAACAAGTACTCCTCAAGACACCCAAAAGCAAATAATAGTTCTCTTATCAGTCAAACTCTGGAACCTTTGCTGTTTGGATATGTTTAATTGTGTATTGCAAATTTGGCCCAGGTCAATTTGGGCCTACATTTGTATTATTAAGAATAGAAAATGAACATGATATGATACACTATTGCTTTGCATAGTTTATTTTTTAAAATATTTGTTGAATTTGTAACCATGAAATATTGAAATAACAAAATTTTATACAATACAAAATTGGATAATGATTATTTGGGGGCCAAATAATATACCTATTCTGAATTCTGTGTTATTTTACTCAACCAAAATAGCCATATATATATAGATCTATTTACTTTCCGTTTAGGAGTGGATGTCAAAATGTATAGATATTGAAACAGACAAAGAAACAACATGTAAATGCACTGGTACCACGTCAAGTATTTTTGCACATATAGTAATCTATCTCTCCTTCATATTGTACAGAACAAACTTACTGATGTTGAGGTACTTTCTTTGCTGATTGCAGCTCTGAGCCATGATTTAGATCACAGGGGGGTGAATAATTCTTACATTCAGAGGTGAGTAAATGGCAGGTAAAAGGAAAGAATATTGCAGTTTAATGTTTCTATTTTTCATTTTGATTTAACATTTCAGCCATAATATTTAGAGAAGTTTTAACTAGAGAGATTGTGGAATCTTCTCTCAGGGTTTTCAGGGATTCGACGTATGTATTTGTCAAGGTTGCTTTAAACCAAAAGCAGGAAATGTATTGGTGTTCAAGAGCCAACTTTTGGGTTATGAGAAGTGCAATTATTTTGGGCTATGGCAGAACAATTATGCAAAGTGGATGAGATGATAGATCATGTAAAGCAGGGCTGTCAAACTGTGGCTGGTGGGCCAGATGCATCACATGCTGGCCACACCCATGCCCTTATTCCTTAGAGGGAATAAGTCCCGATACATCATGTGACGCCGTTGTGATGTGTTTGACACCCCTGATGTAAAGCATTAGGGATTTCTATGGGTGGAACTAGAGTTTTTGGAGGTTTTATGTTTTGGATGAGTGTGTTGTTCTTTTCTTTTTAAAAACATGCTATTGTAAACTATCTGAAATAAAAATACATAACAACAAACCTTGATATTTTCTCCACAAGTCATTTGGTAGCAATGTCTTGGTGGCATAAAGGGAAAGAAGAATTATACTAAGTAGACTTTCAGCAATTTCCAGTGCAAATCCTCCCTCCAGAAATCGTTCCAATGGGACAATTGCTTATATGTATTCTGAGGCAAGAGAAAGGAGAGAAACCAGCCTATGGGCTTCAGGAGGTCTTTTGATTCCCTCCATCCTTTTCCATAGGCAATTAGTGGCAATTGGTGTCAGATGGGATAGGGCGGATAATTATTAGTAAAGTCCAGTGTCAATTACCATTGTTTCAGTAAAAAAACAATATCTTCCAAAATATACCTGTATAGATTATTATAAAAATATGTTGTCTTCCCCCCTTCCTGTGCATGTATAATGTCCAATATTAATAGTATATCATGTACCTTTTAGAAATTTCTGTAAAAATGAAGTATGATGGTAGAAAGAACACTAGTCCCTGTATGAGGAGAAAAGTTTCATCTTATTTCTCTGTCTCTGTTCTTTTTTAGGTATCTTTCAAGGTTAGGAAAGGTTTCTATTTAAGAAAATATTTGGAAGAGTGCAGGACATATTACCTTTTTATAGCATTTTATTTTTTTTAAAATGGATGAATATGCTGTAAAAATGTTTCCAGGAATATTTTAAAGCCCCAAGATTAGTACAAATAAAACAAGTGTTTTTGTGGGAACCAGAAAACTGAGGTTTCTTGCTTCAAAATTATATTCTTAGAAATAAATTTGTATAAAAAAGTGAAAGCAAAGCAGAAGCTAACTTATAGTAAAACTTTATAATAAAGAAATCTGGAATAGATTTTCATTTGAAATGTCTATATATTTCCAGATATAAGGCTCCCCTCTTCTTCCAATCCCATTTCTAAGAAAATAGAGTATATAAGAATGAGTTTGCCAGTCTTTTCTATCTGACTCCCTCCAGGTGGATCAGGATAGCTCCCAAAATTTCATCTGTCATCACTAGGAATTAATGAGAGTTGTTGTCTTAATGCATTCAGAGAGCATTGTAGACTGATTTATTGGATCATATCTCAATGAACTTCTAGCCAAAGAGTCAATAAACTACAGAGATCTATCAGAAATCCCTGAAAGGATTGCAAGAAAAAAAAACTGATGGATAAGAGCTATGAACATCTTCATATCATGGAGCTTTTCTACATAATAACAACATACTTATAAATATGAAACTATGATCTAGAGTATTATTTACGCACTTATCCTAGGCGTATTCCCCTTTCTGTTCATATATATGGGGACTTGATTAGCCTTGTTAGGCAATTTAAAATACAGGATGATTTTTTTCTTCTCAGCCAGGTCAAATGGGAGAAAAGTAATATCGTAGCATATCTTATTACTTGTCCAGCTTTTTATATTTAGATACTTCTCTATTGTGCAACACACAATTACCCTTCCTGTCCCACACTGAGAGAAGTTCAAAGTTAACTGGAGGTTGAATCTTGAAGGATTCTGTATTCTAAAATGTATATTTTAGACTTCATTTTCCTAGTCATCTGTTTAGTTGCATAATTGCCATTTTACATTTGTGTGTATCTCAGGATGAATAAGATTTTGTTTTCTTTCAGCCATATTCCATAAATATTATAAATGGGAATGGGGAAATGTTATTCCCCAAAGCTATATTCTTAGTTTTGTAAAGCTATTTTGTATCTGTAATTAATTCCTTCTGATAATTCTATGTGGCCTGTTTTTTTTCTTTCCCAGAAGTGAACACCCTCTTGCACAGCTTTATTGCCACTCAATAATGGAACATCATCATTTTGATCAGTGCCTGATGATCCTAAACACACCGGTAAATGATAGTTGTGTTTACAAGAAAAGATGTCCAATTTAGTCTTTGAATAATGTCCAGTGGTATCTTTCAACCCTATTCTCAGCTGTGCTACTGAGCTTTTCCAATGCTGCTTGATAAGCTTGTTAATATTTTGACAAACTTGATCCTAATGAAAAAAGAAAAAAGATATGCTTAAGAATTCTGCTTAATCTTTCTAAGGAACCTTAAGCACTCTTGGTATTAGCAAGATTTCCAACCTTGTGGAAGCAGTGAGCTAAAGGCAAGACTTGTTCATCATTTTTTTTTTTTATTCTCTCTAGTGATCTTTAATAATGACTAAACCAAAAGTTACAAAATATTTTTAGCTTAATATGAAACTCTTATTCCTTCTGGTACTTTTGTTTCCATGTTTTTGTCAATTGGAAATTCTCTTAATTTCACTTACATTACAAGCTTAAAGACATATCTATCTGGAACAAGATGTTTATACATAAGCTACAAGGTTACACACATTGCAAAATGTCAGTGAAATTATATCATCAGAACATATTTAAATAATGCATCTTTATTGGTGGAGCTGTGCCAGGTCCTGCATGAATTTAGAACAGCATAAGGATTTGGTAGAGCACAAAGAGAGAATTAATGTCAGGCAGATTCTATTCCTTGCAATTGAATTGTGCATTTTCTCTGCTCACTTCTGTACAGGAATAAGGTATGGCAATAAAATATGAATATTTAATAGCAGGTGTAGGTGTACATAAAGGTCTGTTTAATTTTCTCCACTTCGATTTTTGACAGAAGAAAGTGGTAGCTGGAGTAATTTCATTATTGTTTTTTTCTCAGAAAATTTACAACAATTTATATTTGTGTGTGTTATTGTTATTATTGATGCTACATGTGGCAGTGTCAGCAGTGTGCACACAAATATAGATACATAGATCATTGGAGATATCAGTCACGGAACCCCTAAAAAAAGCCTCTTTTTTTTTTAGGGATTGGTGAGAAAACTCAGTAGTAGCTGCTTACATTTTCTCAACTGAATAGTTCAAAAAAAAAAAAAAAAAAGAATTTATATTTTCTTAGGGTCCTTACCTAGTTATGTTTTCTTCTTCCTCAGTTTTAATACCCGGGTTTTTAAAAAGTCTATATTTTTGTTTTCAGTAGTGTGTAGAATTTAACAAGAACCTATTAAAATTACTGTATCATTATAATCAATGGATTGTCATAAATGTTCCATTATTTTCTTTTGGACCAAGGGCAATCAGATTCTCAGTGCTCTTTCTGTTGAAGAATACAAGGCAACATTGAAAATCATCAAGCAAGCTATTCTTGCCACAGATTTAGCACTATACATAAAGTAAGTTGCAGTTATGGTATTGTAATTATACTTTCTGCTTGGATATGTGGTTTTTCTCATCTCTTTTTTAAGAATGTAAAATTGTACTAATTTTCCTTTTCAGGCATTTAGTAATTATTATTTAAATTTTGTATGCTTTTCAGAAGAAGAGGAGAGTTTTTTGACCTTCTGAGGAATAATCAGTTTAACCTACAAGACCTTTATCAAAAGGAATTATTTTTGTAAGTTTTTTAAGGACATTATTGTCATCTAGTCTGGTTTCCTCCCTATAGTTAGCAATGATTGTTTTGCTTTCATTGGGTGATTGGGCTGGGCAGAACAAAAATTACATGAATATGGGTGAATTACTCACTTCTAATTATTTGGTAAGGTCTCATATTATTTGCCAAACAAGATTATTTCCCAACATGATTTTACAAAATACCATATTGTTCTTTGGATGAAAGTCTATTGTTTAAAAGCACTGATCTGTTAAAATTGGTTTTCTTAGCTTTCAGAAAAAATATTTTGTTTTGCTTTGCATCAGAGTAGTTAGTTTACATTTACAACAGGAAGTTAGTCCTTCAGCAAGAATCAGAGATTCATTATGGATATAGGACACTTTTGCTTTATAGTTCACTATATAAATACTGGAGGTGGTTTCAATGCTCTTATATATGTGGCCTGATGGGAGCTTTGACCTTTTCAGTTAGTACTGACCGATCAACATACCATGAGTTTTTGCAACATATTATCTTGCTTGTTAATACCAGTGATAAATGAATGACTGAGCTGTCACAAATAGCCATTGAGGATAAAGATCTGGCCACAGGCTGAGTCTGTAAATTGTATAGATCTGGTTTCAGAACACTGAACCTTAGCGTTTCCTCAAGTTTTTTTTTTTAATGGGACAAAGTTTTATAGCAGCCCAGCATTGGTAGTAGCAGTTATTATTAAATGTATAAGTCATCAAAAGGGAAAGAATTTTGCCTTTCCTGAATTATATGAGAAAGGCAACCGAAGAAAGATGTAATCTGCAATGACATATAATTATGTAAATCAGTGACTGTAATAGTCTGGGCTAGATGTAGAACATTCATGAATGCTTCAAGCCTGGACTACATTATGGAGATGTTGCCAGCTATGTTCCTAAGAACATGTCCGCCACAGATCCAGTCATCTCTAACTGGATACTGGCTGAGGAATTCTGGGAGTTGAAGCCTAAATTGGAGAAACACTCACTATATTCTTCTAATTAGGAATGGTCACTTAACACAGCAATCTATGATGATTAGTAGTGAAAGAAAATAAATGATAGGAAAAATGAAATAGTGCTTTGAAAAGGAGTTATGCCCTCCTTCTAATATTATAATTCCCACAATAATAAATATTATCATTTGCAACCATTCAACTCATAATAAATTTGTATGTTTCCAAAGTTTTGTTTTGTTTTTTCAATGAAATTTAGGGTATCACCGATATCCTTATTTTTGCTACAGAAGTGAAATGCTTTTCAAACTATACTGTAAAAGAATTGTTTTGTGTTTTTACAGAGCAATGCTGATGACTGCATGTGACTTATCGGCAATAACAAAACCATGGCCAGTTCAGCAGCGGGTAAGTATCTACCGAAAACCTGATCAGATTCCTTATTTCCCTGAACATACTGTTCCTGCTATTCCTCCCATCTGAATCCACTGTGCATTTGGCACAAATATTAACTGCTGCTTAGCAGATTATTGTAACCAACTGACATTGCAATGAAATGTGACCCATTAAAATCAAAGTAAAAGTTATTAGAAAGGCAGCATTAAAAAGATTGCATAATTTCTCTCTCTCTCTTTCTTTCTCTCCCTCTCTTCCTTTATTTATCATCTGCCCTTTTGTTTTAGAGTTTAAGGTGACTTAGAAAGCTTGCCCCTTAATTTTAAACCAGAAAACCCTAGGGTGCCATTGGAGTTCAGAGAAAATGGCTAGTAAAAGTCAGGGAGCTCCATAATCATATGGAGACATGAACTTAATTCTCACAACCAATATCTTAACTACTATGATACACTAAATACAAAGTTCATTATCTATGGCTTACATTTACTGAAAAAGATAGCAGGCGTATATTTTCCTTCATGCAGATTGCTGAACTTGTAGCTGCAGAATTTTTTGACCAAGGAGATAAAGAAAGAAAAGAACTTAACATTGAACCCACAGTAAGTTGAAGCACAACATTTTAAGATTGTTTTGTTCTAGAAATTTATTTTATACAGCATTTTTATTATTTCATGCAGAATCAAATATTTCTATCAAATATAGTTAGAATTCTTTATCCTTTACCAATAAAGGACAATATTTGTAACTCAGGGTTGAACTGAGGGGTTGGAAAAAAGTACCGATGATTTTATCATTGGGTAATTAAATGAAAATAGCCAAGCTCAGAGGGCATCAAGGACCCCTCTTTATCCTTTATTGCAACCCGATCAGCTTATTACTGAATCATGTCTAAATGTCTAAACCTTAACAACAACAAAACCCCAAGCTTTCAATTGTTTGTATGTACTGTATGCGTTAATGCCCTCCAAACAGTGATCACCATCATGTTTCAAACTAGCATTTATGGGGTCAATGATGTTCATTTCAGATACACATAAATGTCATTTGATTTCTCAGTGGTTGATTATTTAGCAGTTAGAGCCTGTAATTAAATATACAGTATGGTCCATCTGCCTTGAAAAATTAAACTGAAAAGAAAAACTGAATCTGTGATATTGAATTTGTGCTTTATTTTCTATAGGATGTAACTAGCCATTTCATATGGCAATTGTAAAATTAGAATAACACGTATGTAGAATGAACCTGAAAATCAGAGTTATGAACTTAGCTAGCATTTCCAAGATTTATGCTTTCCAGAGAAGATGCTCTATGTGCACATTAAAGGAAGTCACCAGAATTATTGAGTTATTATAATGAGAATACTCTGAGATAGAATATTGATATGAAATGTATTTTCTATAATATAGAAAGTATTTATAATATCTATATTATATAATATATAAATATTTATATTATATATAAATATTTAAAATATCTATAATATTTTCTGAAATATTTTCTATAAAAGGGATTTTTTGGGGTGGGGGGATGATCTGAATATATGCCCCACAATTTGAAAATACATGTGTGTCTGTTTTTTTATTATAAATCAGTCAGTATTAACTTTAAGCCATATGAAAAATGATCTGATGAGACCAAAGGCAAGATGAAGTCACATTTAAGTGCATATTTCCATTTACATTGATTTTTTTTCATGGGATTTTGACCTGGTTCATTTAGAGTCTCCATTAACAATATTATGGTAGCATTAATGGATTGTACCACTCCAGTAAAATTCCTACTTTGCAATTAAAGAAATTAGGGATCAACAAAACTGGCTTATCAATGACTATATAGGTTACTGAGACTGAACTGGGATTTCAATGCAGACCAACATCTCCTGGCTGAAAAGGACAAGGTGATGGACACGGTCATATTTGAATGCTCTAGAACTATTCTTATTCCAATATTTGTATTTTTTTTCCCCCAGGATTTAATGAACAGAGAAAAGAAAAACAAAATTCCCAGCATGCAAGTTGGATTTATTGATGCTATCTGCTTACAGCTTTATGAGGTATTCTGTATGACACTGTCAAAGGCCGTAATCATTTTTATCAGGGTTATCTGCAAGTACTGAATTAAAAACTGTATTTTATGTTCAAAAGGATTTAGGTGTAAGCAGATGACAGTAATTATCTGTTGAGATGAAGGCTTCAAAATCTTAAAAGCATATTTCAAAGAAGTTTACTTTATTTCAAAGTGTACAGCCAGACAACACTGGTTTCAGGGCCTAATTTATTCCTTACAAGCACTGAGAGACAGAGACTTTCTCCTAAGACTTGATTCTCTTTCCATTAATTTAATTCATGTTTCTGTTTTTGCAGGCATTAACCTACATATCGGAAGCCTGTTACCCTTTGCTTGAGGGCTGCAGGAAGAACCGGCAGAAATGGCAAGCTTTAGCTGAAGAGCAGGAAAATAACTTGATCATTGGAGAAAGCAATCAGCCCAAACGGAACTGAAATAGACATTCATTAGGACATTTGGTTTACAAATAAGATATTTATATATAATAATGTTTTATTAGACACTGTGTGAAATATGTGCATAATTTGCCACTGCTGTATTTTAAATAACAAGAAATGTATATTTTTGCACAGCACTCAAGAACACAATATGAATTATTTTTATGTAGTCTGATGTATCATTTCCAATCGATCTGCAACTAGCAGATCTAATTAGCCTTGGTCATTTAGATAGTGGTATGGAAGTGGACAGTTTTTAGGACTGCTTCAGAAAATTCTTGGTACTGAGTTGTATATAGTTATTTAATTTTGGTCAATGGCCAGTACTTTAAAAAAAATACTGTATGTGGCACTTTCTGGTTTATTTTTTTTTATATAGTGCCTCTTCTTAAATGTAAATAATGAAAAAATAGTGTTGCATTTGAAAGCTAGAAGTTACCAGAGAAACAAGTGGGTAGCATTTGCTTGGTGTGGGAGAGGAACAGAGCACTGAATTAATATTGCTTGTTCTAAGAAATCTGTTTTTTTCAGGGTGAGGCATGTTGAGCTCAAATACAAGTCTCAAGGGAATATGCTGCATCTGTGACTTTTCCTGTCATGGGAATGCTTGAGTTTTACTCATTATGTTGCAGCAGCTGAGGAAGATCTGCAAGTGAAATTGTCCAGAGTTCCTTAATAATAATGAAATGTTTAAGAAATATATAATTAAAATAGAACTACTTAAAACTATAAGAGTACTTAAGTTGTGAAAAAGCTGGAAACGGGGCATGTAGACAGAAAGAAAAAAAAAAGATGAAAATGAACTTCAGTGTATTAGAATCAACATACGATCCTGTTTAAAATATTAAATACTAAATAGAGAAACCCATGAAATCAATAGGCTACACTTTGAAAAAGCCAGGGTTCATTTTAAAATGGAATAATTGCTTTGGGTATCATAAAACAGTACCAACAACATCAGAAAGTCATAGCCAGTGCTACTTAAAAATAGCTTCATTTTTTTTTTAAGGAGTGGCTTTTCAAATGAAAGAATGCTCTAGAATTTCATAAGACTGAATTTCATGAAGCACAATCAGAGTTTGTAAACAATATGGAATTGCCAAAAGCATTTAAGAAACTGTCAAAAGTAACTTCAAAGAAAGTTAAAGAATGCTACAACAGGGAATGGCCTAGATAAAACAAATCCTGCTGGCAGTCAAAAACAATGTCCAGGATTACCAGCTGTCAGACAAAAAGAGGACATGTCCTTTTTGTCCTTATGTCCTCTGGCTGGATGACATAGCTTTAAAATCAAATATTGTCCAGGTTGGTTTTTTTTTTTTTTTTTGAGTATGTAACAAGCTTCCTCTCTTTTCTCAATGTTGCAGCATTTTCCTAATGCTAAATGCAAGTGAACAAGGTCAGCTCCATGACCTTAATTAGCACCTTCCCTCCGTTCTATGCAACTGCCTCAAACTGACAAGACCTTAATCAGTTACAGGTCGTCTTCAACTGACAACCACAACTGGGATTTCAATTTCTGTCACTAAGCAATGTGAGGGTTAAGTGAATCATGCCACATTTTACAGTCTTTTTTGCCACACTTGCTGAATGAATCACACGCCCATTGGTTTTGCTTGTCAGAAGCCCCCCGGGATGGTTGCAAATGATGACCATGTGACTTTGAGATGCTGCAACTTTCATCAATACATGACCAGCTGCCAGCTAAGCACCCAAATTTTCATCATTTGGCCATGGGGGATGCTGTGATGGACATAAATATAAGGACTTGTCATAAATCGTTTTTTCAGTGTAACTTTAAATCAGGGGCGTCCAACCTTGGTAACGTTAAGCCTGGAGGACTTCAACTCCCAGAATTCCCCAGCCAGCTTTGCAAATGTTCTTCCTTCCCAAGGCCCACAAAAATTAGATGTCATTTTAAAAAATGCAACCAAAGAGCATAGCTTAAATACTTAGGGCTCTGATGGGTTCAGTAGGATTTAGATGAATGTAATTTCAAAGTGACTGAAGATGCATAATCAGAGTCCTGCCAATTTGGCCCTCTAATTCAGAGCTGGGGGATGCAATTTGTTTTTAGAGTTAGATATCTGGGCTGAAAAAAAATGCAGATTAGAAATAGATAAAAACAAACCCAGGAAGATAGTCTTCTATGTCTCTAGTGCCATCTTGTGACCATCTGGATTTTTGCAAATGGAAACTTATGTGAAAGAGCTCCTTCATCGAAGATAAGGGGTAAGAATTCTAAAGCACTTGTGGAAGATCAATGTCTTTTGACCCCATGACATCAAAAAATAGGCAAGGATGTATTTGTGGACACAATTCGACCCTAGTGATACTGAGAATTCAGGCACTTTTGACATTTACTAGGCCCTTTGCCCTACCCAGATTTTGTGTCTAGATTTTTATGACATTAAATAGAAGATGTATTATGGCAAAGATGCAATAGATCCACATAACATTCAACCATCAAAAGAGGGTTTAGAACAGGGGTGTCAAACTCAAGGCCCACAGGCTGGACATAGCCCATGATGTGGTCAGTTCTGGCCTGCGAGGCCGTCCTGGAAAATGTAAGGAGCCAGCCCGCATCGCTTCAGCCCGGACTACCCAATACGAAGAGGAATATCGGGCCAGCATGGCTTCGGCCCAGTCTACTCAGTGCAAAGAGGAAACATGCCAGCAGTTTGTCAAGCTGGCCACACCCACCCAGTCAGCCATGTCCACCCAATCAGCCACGCCCAGTGAGTGGCACCAAGTTGTCCATACCCACCCAGTTGTCCATGCCCCCC